TTGGCCTCCACCTTCATTTATTTCATCATTGACTCATTCATCCATTAAATATACCTTTTTAAATTTTATTTTATTAAAGTATACAGTACATTGGTTAGATGTTTATATAAGTTATAAAATGATGCCCCTAATTGCTCTTTCTCTCCTCTGGCTCTCCACCTAGCCATTACATTACTGCTGACTGCATTCCCTATGCCACGCTCTCCATCCCCGTGACCATCTATCAACTACTAATTTGTACTTCTTTAACCCTTCACCCCATTCTCCCAGCCCCTCAACCCTGCTCCCCTCTGGCCATCCCCAGATTGTCCTCTATATTTGTGAGTCTGTTTTTGATTAGTTTTTTCTTTTTGATCCTTAGATTCCACATATAAGTGAAATCATATGGTATTTATCTTTCTCTGTCTGACTTATTTCACTCAGCATAATAACCTCTAGGTCCATCCATGTCATTGCAAATGGTAGGATTTCATTTTTTTTTAATGGTTGAGTAGTATTCCGTTGTATATATGAACCATAACTTCTTTAACCTATCGTCTGTTGATGGGCCTTTAGGTTGCTTCCATATCTTGGCATTGTACCGTTAAATATACTTTAAATACCTATTATGTGCTAGACACTGTGCTGGGCTCTGGGATTACAGTGGTGAATGACAAGAGTTATTAGAACTACAGTGGTAATTAGAAGCTCTCAGAATATAAACCATGGGATCTAATGTAATCTCGGGAGCCAAGGGAAGGTGGCCTACTTCAGAGTAGTGGTCAAGAAGAGCTCTGAATTACATTTATATGAAATTTCTAGAATTGGCAAATCTGTAGAGACAGAAAAAGTAGGTAGATTCGTGGTTACATATTGCTGAGGAGTTGGTGGGAAGATGAGAGACTGCTAATGGGTAAAAGTTTCTTTTTGGGGTGACGACAATGTTCAAAAACTTACTGTGAAAATTGTTGTACAACTTTATGAATATACTAAAAACCACTGAATTATGTACTTTAAATGGGTGAGTTCTATGGTAGTGAATTATATCTCAATAAAGATATATATATATAATATCTGAAGATTGAGAGGAATTAGCTAAGGAATAAAGTATTTCTTCACACAAGG